TTTATCCCCAGTGGCACGGTTTTAAATTGTTTCCAATGCTGTCTTCCCTGGTGACTCTGACTGCAGAGAATAGTTTTGGTCCTCGCTGTTGCACTGAATGGCCACTTCAGCGAGGGTGCTGGGCAGAGCCACTTACCGATGAATATTTCTTAAGAGTGGAGCACAGTCTTCAGCCATGCAGGTAAAGCTAAATGGGCTCACAGACAGCAGCCTTGGTCACAGAAAAAATATACAGAGCTAAAATGAAGTGGATACTTTATCAGTTCTTTTTTTCAATCTTCCTTTTATCAGAGGAAACAAAAACAGCTATAAAGAGTAACTGTTCTTAACTGTGTATGTAACTACATGCATAAGATATATAAGACATTCAGAAAAGAGGAAATGGCTTAGAGACTGCTGTTTGCCGAAGTTCTGCAGTACTGTTGTAACTTAACTTACTTTGAGTGTATTTTTGGATTAGTTTGCAAATGAAGCAATGAATGTTTTGTCATATAATAAAAATAGGACTATAGTATAATCTTGATATAGGACTGAAGAAATAAGTTCTGGACTATAAATACAATATGTCCTGTAGTAGAGGTCAGCTATTTTATGCATACTGAATAATACCAACCAATCCTAAAACATGAGGAAACATCCAATTCAGATAATTTACCCCATCAGATGTTGTCATCTGTTAGGTCAGATCCTTTTGATAATGTTACAAGAACAAATCTATTTTTACCCAGCTCTGTTCAAATATCATTCACTAGCTCTTCAAGTGCTTTGGTCCAAAGCCTGAATGAACAGGTGTAAGAACATTATCTCACGTGTTTTATATATTGTACATGCTCACACTTTTATTTATAAAATGAGTTCACTGTCCCTGGCATTTTACTTGCACTCTTTCTGTCTTGGCTGTTGAAATCTGAAATGATAGAAAGCAGCACCGGTATCTTCTAAACTTTCATGATGACAAGCAGAAGTAAAAATTAAGTGAAAGATGAGAGGTTTTTTCCTCTCAGCTGAGGTAATGAACTAAACATAAAGTTTATTTTTTGTCTTTTCATTTTCAGGAGTAAACCAAAACTGTTGTTTGCAACTTTTTGTTTTGGTCTATGTTGCATGTTATGGGGTTTTGTTTGTTTGTTTGTTTTTTAATTTGTACTTACCAGAACTACAGAGATTCTCTGTATTTCTTCAAAAGAAAGTAGGATACAAGCAGAGTGTTCATGTTTTTAAGGACACTATGTGAGGATGTCTGATTATTTTTCCAAAGATTTTGGAAGGAAGTGCTTAAAGCATTCTGTACTCTGTAGAGATCTTTGCACTTCATGTATGATCTTTATTTAATAAAAGCCTGGGAATTTCATGTCTGTAGGCTTACCTTTCTTTTCCTGCATAGCTCAGGATGCCTAGAGCTACTAACAGTTGTTCAAAGGTTCGTAGTAAGACACAAAGAAATTACATATAGTCAAAAGGCAAACCCAAGAAACATATTGGAAATGTCAGGTCTCATAACTTTTAGGCATACTAGGGTCAAATGACTATCTTTAAATGTGTACTTTTTACAATTTTTTTACAAGGATCTGATAGCAGAGTAGCAGTATAACATTGGCAAGCAAGTCTGCTGCTTGTTTGCAGGTGGCTCATAGCTAACATGTGCATAAGGGTGGAATTTTTAGCAAACATTTTTAGCAAAGTCTATGTGTGAAAGTTGGAGCTGACCACCCTTTCCATTTAACCAGGGCTAATATTTTTCACTGAGGCAAAGTTAAAATTAATGGAACTAATTGATGTTTATTCAAGCCAATAATCTTAAGTGAAAGCACTAAACCTATATATAAGTATGATTCCGGGAGAGACAGAGAGCAGCGTGTGTTGTTAAGTCTCAGAGTGCTGATATGGCTCTGTGTATCAGTTGCTCATAACTCTGAGAAGCTTTAACAGCTTTGGCTGCACTTTTCCATTGCTGATGTCTCCTTGAGGAAACATTTGACAAATAGCAGCCAAGTGATTAAGTAATTTCTGAAAGGGATGTTAAGGGAAGAATGCTTTATTCCTTAAAAATATTCTTGAAAGGTTATCTCTGCGGTGTTGTAGTGTGGCCTTGGATCTGGGGAGAATGAGAGAAGGAATGGGAGGCAGCTGGATGACAAAGAGGAAGGAGTCATGGAGACAGGGCAAGAAGAGGGAAAGAGTTAAAAGGGAAACTGGGGCTGGAGAGAAAAACAACTGAGATGATTATAAGTTGAGACTTTGGTAGGCAAAAAAGAGGACAGGTAACCACAGGGATGTAGAGGAGAGTTCACATGTCAAAGTCAAGGATGGAAGTTGCTTGGGAGAAACCCTGAAAGAGAGGCAGATTGGGCAGGATCATTGAAGACAAGGCAGGAACAAAGTAACTGGTAAGAAACTCAGAACATATTCCAAGTGGCAGTTGTTGGGAGACTGTGTTGGGAGAGCAGTAAGCTTGGAGGGAAAGCAAAGGAAGAGAGCTGAGACTGGCTTAGCGAGGACGGTGGGACTGATGTAAGAGGCTAGCTAGAGAAAGAAGAGGACACAGATGGATGGGCAAAAAGGATTGGCCTCTGACCGGGAGCTGCTATTACAAAAAGCCTTATGCATACATAGGGACAGACAGGAAGGACTGGGTATTGTGAACAAAATCCAAAAAGAGTAGGTGGGTGTTCTACCTGTCAGAACACGTTCTTCTGTGATGAAACCCACTATCCCTGAATTACCTCTCCTACCAGCCAATAATGGTAGTAAATGTCACCTGAAAAAGCAAATGTCTTGCAACAACTCCTGGTTTACTGGCAGGAACGCAGCTTGTCTGGCTCAGGGACAGAGACCTGTGCTTTGGGTCCAGAAGTCTTGGCTTGTGGATGTGTGGTAGACACCTGTGACAGGCATGCAGGAGTTGGTGTAGTGATTTAGTTCTGTTCTTTCCAGGCTGTGATTTGAGAAGTGTCTAGGAAATGATACACAAAATGGTACTTCTTAGACTGTAAAATCAAATGCTTCAAAGTTACTAAGTAGCTACAAGAGTCTGCCCTGAAATCAGTGATTAATTTCCTAATACACTTTTTTTCTTGTCTCTCCCTACTGAATTCATTCCATAATACTCTTTTGTATCCTCTGTTATCTGCACTAAGTTATGACTGACGTGCCCCAGGAGCTGGTATTTCGGAGTACTCAGTGTTTAGTACTGCCGATACTCTACGTAAATCATCCACATAAATCAACTACAAGCTGACTCTTTAGCTGTGCTTCAAATTACAGCCCACATTCTCAAGCCACATATGGGAAGATGAGGAATACGCAGTTGCTAAAAAACAGTGAAAAGTGTGATTTAAATGGCTTGGCTGGCACTGCAGAAGTACTCTGTGGCAAAAAGCCACATTCATTTACTTTTGTTGTGACACGTTCTGTTTTCTTCAAGTTCACCTTTAAACACTTGCCAATTTTTGCAACAAATGATATAGAGGGGAAAAAAGAGGGTCCAGAAAGTGTAGCCTTCATCACTAAGTTGCCTGGATTTTGTCCCAGAGGTAGTTTTTGCCCCGTGTAGTAAACTGACTAAGGCAAGGGCCCCAAAAAACTGGTCTGTAATAATATATTTTAAGGCCTTAACTCAGTGTACACAGATAATCCTAAGCACAACATCATGTCATAAACTCAGGTGCTTTTGGAGTTTGGCAGAGACCTAGAAAAACAGGCTTAAAGTTTTGGCTTCAGACTTTTGTGAAAACCAGGCCATGCCCTATAACGTGTGCTGTGCTACTACTGCTGCTGGAGGATTGGAACAAAAAATAATGACATGAGACTCTGCTTTTATTTTGCAAGTGCATTTTTAAATGTAAATGTACTCAGAAAAATGTTTTTTCCTGACACCAGAGTTTTCTATATTTGGAACTTTTATTCTTATGTTAAATGTGTTCAATTTACCTACCCTAATGACTGCTGCCTCTGCTTCTAATCCAACAAATTCAACGTGCACCATCCAAAATTAAACAATAATCTTACAGGACCATTCCAAGCTGGGTTTTATAAGGGTGGACGAGTTCTGGTAGAGCAGGCATGTTAGCTTGTGTATTTGCTCCCATGTGTTCCTCTGGGAATCTGGATTGTTCACATGCTATTTTTATGTGTGACTCATTTGACTTGATGTGCCACATGTGGCTGGGTTTGTGCATAAATAGGAATTCTGCTCAGCACCTGATGAAAGCATGCTTTTCCTCAACACATTCCCAAGTCTCACTCCAGTGAGCAATATTCTCCTGCCTGTGGTGTGATAGCAGTTGTTGGCTTTCTCCTGTGACTTGACACAGTGGGAAGATTAGTGATCTCTCCTAGCCTGTTCTTGTGGAGATGAGGTTCAGCTTGGCCACTATCAGAATCTGTAAGTCCTGCAGTCAGAACCGTGGCAGTTGGCCTGTTAGTGTAGGCAGAAGACTAGAAATAAGTTTTCTCCCCTCCAACTGATTCATCTCTGCCATTCCACCAAATGCAACATTTTATGAATGTCAGTTAAACTATGAAATAACCCGAACACCCTCAAAGCAAACAAGCAGAGTATTCAGGTATGCATGCCATTTTATAGAGTCACTTCAGTACCTATAATTGTACTTTAGAAGAGGAACACCTGAGGGAAAGTCATTAAGAAATTACAGTTATGTAGATAAATGTCATGCTTTGTTTTAAAATTTGCAACACATACCAAAGAGATGTTCAATTGCTATATTAGAATGGCCAGCACTGTCTGCTCAGGGCATGAGGGTACAGAGAACTTTTTTCGGTAGTTAATTCGTAAAAGTTTTGTATTTTTAAAGGAGAGGGTAGAGATTTAATATAGAAGAGAATTACTTTAAAGAGTCAGATCAGAAATGGGAGACTGAGCCATAGGACTAAGAGGTTCCAAGAGAGAAGTAGGAGTGAGTGAGGAGTATAGAAACCTCAGCAGGGTGAACAAGGGGACAACGGATTTATGGACACTACCTTTTTTTTTTCTCCTGTAGGTGCTGACCTCTGGTTGGTGTTTCAGAGACTATTAACAATAGCTACCTTCCTTGGACTCTCCAGCAATGGTTCATAAACTTCCTGGGATCTGTAACCCTCTTGTTGAAAATTACTGGTTTGCATAAAGAGGGTAAGTGTTTAATGTTAACAGCAGCATATTGCTTTGGGTGGAAGAACCTAATCCAGGTATTAAAACAACATTCAGTCCTGAAGGAAAGAAACTGGCTTTCACTTTTAACTCAACTGCTTTCAGGTACTGCATTTCAGGAAAGTGTTTGGATACAGCTTTGGGATGCATGGGTTAAAATATATTCCCAACGTGTAGGTTTTCATCATAATGATGAGAAAACTTACAGCCAGAAGTGCTTCAATAAAGTAATACCAAATGCAGAATTACCTCTGTTATCTTCTAGTGAAGTCCCTGCACTGGGAGAAATTTGATCATTTGCTTAAAAAGTGCTTACTCTATAATCGTTTCCCAACCATTGAACTTCTGGGTGGGAATTTACCCTATCAATGTATTTTTATGCCAGATGCCACATTACATTTGTAAAAGACAAACACCTCTATCTTTAGCAGAGCTGGTTGCTGCTTCATTGCTTTTCCTGCCACTAGTGGATGATTCTGCTGTTCCTGTGTTTAAGAAAGACCTCTCCCTTAAGTGAGACCATGAGCAATGACCACACTTCAGAAAAGCAGGTAACAAGTTGACAAGTACTCAGTGGAGGACAGTGGTATTTCTTTCTTTAGATATTATTTTAGTATTTTCTTCTTCATTGCCAATTTTATTCTATTGTAATTTCATAAGTAGCTTGTAGGAATGAACAGACTTCAGATGTCCCATGGGCATTCTGCCTGACCATGTAAAGAATGTTCACTATCAGTCAAATGGTTGAAAATAACAGGAAACCTTGTACAGATCCTCATTAAAATGGACTAACTTCTTATCTTGGAGATACAGACCACTCTCCCCTGTAATAGAGAATATCTGCAAAAAAGAGACAAAGAAAATGATGTACTTGTAAGAGCAGTGGTATATTTGCCATAACCAGAATTACTCTGAGAAAGTGGTGCCCGTGCTTTCGGCCTGGACAGTCACATAACTTCTGATAACTGTGTGATAAGGAAAGGTGTGACCCTTCTCCTGCCAGATAAGTGGTCGTGTATATGTCACATTCTCCAAATCTACCTGCCCTGTTATTTAGCTGTCACACATCCAGGTACATGTGAAATGAGTCATCACTGAATGCTGCGTGTGTGCCCTGTTATGTGGTTAGGCAGGTTTACTCTGTCCTGTATTCACTGCACAGTGTCACATGGCCAGAGGTTACACATCAGTCTTGGCAGACACGTGTACACAGTTCTACCATGCATCTTTCTTATGGTGATGGGACTTGTCTTTAGGCTGTAGATGAGATGAAGGCAAGTGGAAGGTCTGTGAGGAACTCAGAAGTGGTTGGTTCAGGCTGCCCAAGTAATCACCTGTTTTGTGGCTTGCTGCCTCTCCTTGCTTCAGGGACACCATGGAAGATGGTGTTAAGTCTGAGCTGTGGCCTGGATGAACTGCCTGGTGTGCTGTATTCACCTCATGAGCTTACCACCCCTGCACTGAAACCACTCTGACTCACTAGCTAGAATTTCATCCATTGATGTAATTAAAAAGTAATAAAAAAATGAAGCAAGGCTAATGAGACTCTTTAATAATCTCAGTGGATGTCACTAAACCAGAAACATAGGAATAAATTCATTTTAGAATAAGTAGACTTTATTAAATTGAAGTTTTAAAAGTGACTAGGTTTTCAAAGCATAAAAAGGTGGGTTTAATCAAACTCCAAATTCCAAAGCTAAGGTAACAACTTGTTATCAAACACATGAAGTCTTAAGATTTTTTCTCATGTTAGGAGTGCAAACAGATGTTTTGAAGGAGTAATACATTCCAGTTGTTTTGTAAGCAGGAGACTGTAAAGGGAATGACTGTCTTTGCATTGTATCTTCTGAGAAGGAAGGCAGGCCAGCAAAGTGACATGTTCAGATTTTCCTGAAAGAGGGACCAACCGTGAGTAGGAAAACCAAACTATATCTATTACTTTTCTAGTCTTCTTGTCTCTCTCTTTTCCCAGGCTTCTGCCTGGATACATAAGAAGCCCGTTGTTTACTGATCTAAATCCCAAATTTTACTTTGTTGTTATGCAAAAAGACTACACGTATATCGAAACCTGAAAAGCATACAGGGTTTGAGCTGATGTGTGGATGCTGGACTCTCCTGATTTGATCTCAATCATGTTGGAAAATAATGTATCAGAAACTGGCAAAGACATACTTATTTAGTACACTTCAGCATGAAACCTTATCAGCAGACAGGTTCAACTGGGAAACTGAGTATCACCCAGAGTGATTGTATCACCCTGAGTATCACCCAGGCATTGACTAGGAACTAGCACGATGCCTGATCGGTAGTCCTGGAAAAGCCTCAGGCTGTTATTCCTTCCCTCAAACTGTGGGTCCATTCAGAGGCTGAAGATGGCTCAGCTCTAGGACTGTGTCTACTGTGACAGTAACTATAATAAAGATTAAGTGCTTGAAATCATGGAACTGCCTGCTTAAGCGTGATTAGCTCTAGGAATGGTTGGATGGGTTTGCATGAAATAAAAATATCAAGAAACTTTGTAAACAAGTCAGTCCCCTTTTCTGTTTTATTGCAAAGTGTGCCTTTCTGGACTTCCAATTCTGCTTGAGTGGAAAGGCCAAAAGGCCAGGTGGTTTTTTTGGCTGTTCATTGTTATTGGAACGGGATGCCTCGGGGTGGAGATCTGCTGGCATAGTCCTTCCAAAGGGTCTGCTAATTTTCTCTCTGCTGCTCCTGGCTGCATGATGCTACTTCTTCCCTTATGTGGCTTAGCTGCCTGTATGCTGATTCAACTCATTGAAGCAGCAGAGAAAAATCTACTTTTCTATTATATTTTTAGATTAGTTTTCTGCCTCTTCAGTAAGATGAATTAGTTCATTGAAAAGCAGAACAAGGCAAGAAAAAAGACCAGATGACTGAAAATGATATGAGAAAAATTCAGGATTCCCCTCCTCTGTTTGCTATATCTTGCTTATGCGTTAGATACTCAGCTTGCCTTATCTTAGGAATTGCCCTATAAGCATGATCTGCATGAGTATAGATACCTTGTATGTTGATGTGAAGAAGGTGTTATTGATTCTTCTGAAAACTGCAGTGTGCCTAACTGCACATATGACTTTTCCCTCAGTCCTCTCTTTATGTGGGGACTGCCCAGGTTAGCAGAAATCCTTATGGTACCATGTGTATCGATGCAAAAGAACAGGATTATTTTTACAGATGTGAACACGTTACAACGTGTACAGCTAAACAGGCAGGAAGGAATGGGATCCTCAGATGGGGAATAGAGAGTTGAGGGCAGGAACCTTTTAACCAGAGTATTAGCTTTGTTCAGAGCCCAAACTTTTGTAGACAGACAAAGGTGATGTAATATTCCCAGGAGCTAGAAATTACTTCACCTTAAACAGTCCTTCAAGTTTGACTCACAGAGAAAATGACTTCAGGTGAAATATATTTTGAAAACATTAGCAGAAGGATTTTGATTTTATTACTTCTTTTGTTTAAAAGCCATAAATATAAAGCTTATTTCTGTCACTCCAGAATATCAGCTGACTTCCATAATGCCACGGAATTGATGTAGAAGGTTGCTTCTGGATATCTGTTCAGTGGAAGCACTAGCATTAGAGATTAAAAATCACTAGCTCTTCTCTCCTAAAAGACCCATTTTAAGAACTTGATAGGTATTGCTGTGTGATAGCTTCAGGGAACTGCCATTGTAAAAGGCAAGGAATCCCTGTGTCAGCTGAATCTGGGGACGGAGGGCTGACCGAACAGGGTAGAGGTTCAGTGCTTTTCCTGCTGACAAACAGGTCTAAAAAGTGCTTCAGAATTAGACCAGTCTGTTGCAGTGTGCCCTGACAGGCAGGTTGTGTCTTGCTGCTCCCTAACTACAGGATGATGGCCATCAGTGGCTAACACTGACATTGAGTGGCAGAGAAACCTGATAATTTGTCTGCACTTTCAGAGAAGATGGGATAATAAGTGAGTTATTTGTATTTCTGCCCATTTAAAGTAGTGAGCACGTATGGCAAAGAGCTAACAAGTTGAACTTTATCAATAATAACCCCCCTCTAGCCCAGGTACTTCTTCAGATTTTTCTGTAGAATTGGGAAGTAGGACTGATGAGTACAAGGGCTGAGGTGACAGCCCTGAGCTGTGGAGTGGCTTAGAGGAAAGCAGTGGAACTGGCTGTAGCACTGACAAAATAATTCCCACCCTCTGGAAAATATCACTGACTTCCCCTCTGTGTCTGTGGGCCAGGAGGAAGTACCCAGAACAATGAGATTAGAAATAGATGGATCTGCTGTTACATTAGGAGAAATCCTGCTTTTTTCAGTGATTTAGAAAGAGGAATGGAACATTTTTCAAGTTCTTTGCACATACAGTGTTGCACTGCTATGTACAGCTGATCCACATAAGCCTTTCCCAAATACTATAGACATTAACAACGTCTCTCCAGTAACTGAAAGAGGATACAACTTGAGCAAGAATGTCAAGCATTTGTAGAAGCAGATAGTTTGAAAACACAAACAGCTTCATCTTGCCAGGTGGCTTGATTGTGTTGACAGGAGAGTAAAGCAGTATGATGCACTTCGTAGTTTGTTCCAGTTACCAGACGGGACTGGTTGGTACTGGCTGAACAGACTGCACCTTTCCTCTCACCAGCTTTTGTCTTCATTCATCCTATCTTTTCTTTATAAGTAGCAAAAAATGGCTCCCTCAGACACCTCCTTTCTACCTCTAACTCTACGCCGAAATACAATTATCTCGCAATGACTACAAAGCTACTGCATTATAGCTCAAGCGTTACCATCTGTCAATAAAATCAGGAGACTGGAGCAGCAGGAACATAACAGCAGAACAGGACATGCAGATGAAGCTTAGAAAAGCTGTCCCACGGGAGCTCAGAGGATAAAGAGGAGTATGACAATCTGACATAGGAGGCACTGCTAATTGTAGTGGAATTGCTAACAGTGGAAGCAGCCTCTACACTTAGGTAGAGTCAGGAAGAAAAAGGTGTCAGGGAACAGGCAAGCAGGCAAGGAAGATGCGGCCACTTTCCTGTCTGCACCTCACTTATCTCTTTTGGCCTGACTGTTGTGTATGCAGAAGTCTGCAGAGCTTCCTTCCTTTATTGGAGTAGTCTAGGAGAGCAGTGGAGGAGTTGTGCCATTATCCGAAATTCCTGGAATAGGCAGTTCAATTGCTTTTGGGGGGCCAAAACTTTTTTGCTATCCTATGTATCCAACTGGGCCTTTGTTCATCCTCTGTCTTTGCATAGTTTTTGAATACAATTAACAAAGTATGTAGGACACTGCTGCTGAGTCTGTGGGCTCAGAGAGAGATCAGATGGAGAGGTGAACATTTGGCTGTTGCATCAAAATATTCTCAAGAAGAGTGGAGCAGCAAGTGTAGTTAAACTGAGGTGGAAGTATCCATTTACCACAGAGGAGAAAGAGATGAACAGCAGAGAAAATGTGAGTTCTCATCCAAAGCAGTGGCTGTCAAAGTGAGTCCTGATGTCCAAATTTCTTTTTGGACCAGATCAGTGTCATCTTGGCTGAGTGTCAACAGGTATTTATATTCGGACTTCTTTTCAACTCCTGGTAATCTCCTGTCTTCTCTATATTGATGGGGTTTGTGTGCACGATCTAGCAGAGTGCTTAACAGCCAAGATCTTCCTTCATCTGCACTAGATTTTTACTAGTAAAAGTGATGATGCCAGTCTTCCTCATCATATTGCTGACCAGTGCTACTGAACTGGGCCTCCTACAGTAATGACTGGATTTGGCTTGATTCCTGTTTCTAGCTTTTTTTTTTATTTTATTTCATTGGTTTTCAAATCAGTTTCAGAAAGTTCCTGCAGATTTGTCTGTGCACTGTCTGGATGCTCTTAATACAGTGAGCTGAGGCTCACTGATAGTGGTGAGAATCAAACCCATTTATTTTTCTTGGAAGAAAGACAAAGCCAAGTAATATATGTGAGGTGGGAGAGAGATAATGAGGAGGAAGGGCACAAACCAACAGCTTAAGTGGTATGTGCTGACTTTGGATTGTTGGAAATGTCTTGCTCAGGTGGCATATGTATTTGATGAAGTCTGTGCTTCCAAATGCTGTAACTACCTGTGCGTATCAACCCAGTGTAATCTTTTGTGGGGTTAATAGCAGTAAATGATCAACTTAGATTTTCCAGATTGTCTGGAGGTTAAATTTCTTTAAATCCCTTTGGGTGGAGGTAAAGCAAGTGCATAGTTTGGGCTGTGTGCTGTGACCTGTAACAGGATTTTGCTGGAATACACTAGCATGGATGGCCTTCAGGAAGGAAGGCAGATATTTATTGATATGAGGGGAATGCAAGGGGGAGTCGAGGGAAGTTTAAAAATTAACAGAAAACCCCCTCAGCTTTATCATTCCAAATAAGACCTTTCAGCTGTGACTATCAGTAAGAAAATCAAGAGCAGACCGGCCACAAACCATGTGAAAAGCACATGAAGAGTAGTGACGCTGGAGCATCCTGAAATCTGAGCAAAATAAGATTGCATGCCCAACATTTCAGAACACTTATATTACTAATATACATAAGGTGAATGTAGCACAGCAGTTCTGCAACCTGCCAATAGTGGTGAGTGCTTGGAGGCACCTCTCAGGTGGGCACGAGGGTGGCCCCAGGAGCAGCATGTCTGGCAGTCACAGGTGAGGTGGCAGTTAGGTACGGAACATCAGGGGTTTGTTAAGTGCTGACAGAAGCTGAAGGAGTGGAGACAGGAGGCTGCCAAGGGCAGGTCAGCACTAGGGAAGTTTTGCTAAATGGAGGGTGACATTAATATGTAAGAAACTGGGGGAGTGCAGGCCCTGGAGCAAGGCAAGTAAGCAGGGTGAGACAGGACAGATTACATAGAGCCTAGCAAGGTCACTTGCTGACCAGGACCCCCTCAGAACCCTCCATCCTCATACCCCTTGGGTGTTGCATCTCAACTTCACCCAGAACTGCCAGGTTTCTACTGCTCCATGACTGTGCAGGTTGCCAATTGGAGCACTAGCTCCTTGTGGGCTGTAAATGCCATGTGGACGTCGCAGAGAGAAAAATCCATGGGATATACCTCTCCAATACAGGGATTGTGTGTGTTCCATATTTTCCGTGCACCCCTCCCATATGGCAGTCTCCCATGCCACTGGCCACCTTTTCCCCCCACTGCTGTCAATGCCCTGCGTTCCCTTTTCCACGTCCAGTGGCTCTGTGAGCTCTCCAGCCCCTTTGGCTTCTCCAACAGTGATGCTGTGTGTCTCTCCTGCTGCCATCTCCCTAAGCATTCTCCTTTATTTTCTTCCAACCTGCAGTGTAAGTTGTCTCTTCAAGGATGGGTAAGAATTGCAAACCCGAGCTAGCAAGACAGGGTGAGAGGCATAGACAGGGTGAGAGGGATAGAGGGTGTTAATGGCTCCCTTGAAGAACCCTGGAAGTCCATGGTAACATGGAAATGGTTGAAAAAAAGCAAACCATATCAGTGGATGTAAGCCTCTATTTCCTTGTTTTCTTTTCAAGTTTTCAACTAGTAAGGATGAAGTGTTCCTCTAAAATGTTGATCAGAAGTGATGTCCAAAAGTTGCAGCTTAATATATAGACAGGAAGAAAATTGCTCTTGAGCAGAGTGCTAGGTCATGCTTTCCTTGATGAAGATGTTTTGGATTTTTTATTATGTAGCTGACAGATACTCTTTACTAGCACTCAGCTCTTAAAGCTGGCTTCTTTCCATCCTGCAAGAGCTATTATTAACAGAAGCTTGGGAGCTGAGCAAATTTGATACACCAGGAAAAATTGTGGAAATTCTTGTTTTTCTGTATAAGGAAGCTGAGGCACAGACAGACTCAGTGCTAAAGCTTAAATAGTGAATTGTCTAGCAGAAATAAAATTGAACATGAATTTCTCATTTCAGCTTTTCTGCTTGCCTTTTAGCTTATGCAGCTATTTTCCAGTGCTGGTTTTTGGTTGGTTAGATCTGAGGTAAATGTGTTTTCTGTGGTTACTTCAACCTGTCGTATTTACCAAAGTTGAGTTGCTTGGACTATTCACACAGGTCGATGTAAGATTAGTGTCGTTGCTAATCTTATGGGGAGTGTGTCCTTGTGCACAGAATTTGACGGAATACTTTTTACTCATTTACAGGCTACAGCCTTTTTTTGAATATATGGTAAGCCTCTTAAATAAAAAGGTCTTCTGCAGCTAAGAGCATTAGAAGGAATCAGTGTTCTTAGCAGAAAAGAACTATTATCCAAAATAATCGTATTGGAAGCCAGGAGAAATAAGACTTAGAGAGTAATATTTAAAATAATTTTTCATGTAAATCAAACCTACTGGATATGCATATACAGGCTGTATCACTAGACAGCTGAAATGTTAACAAATATAATCATTGTGATGAAGTTGTGCACTATTTTTCCTTAATTTCAAATAGTTTAATCAGTACTTTTATTTCTGGTGCGGAACTTTCATACTGTGCCTGTGGTACTGTTTGCAATCAAATTCTTCAGTTGTAATGACAATTTTGGTAATATCTATCAATCTCAGATTACATTATCTGGGAGTTATTAAGTTTGTATGTAAGTGCCTTGTACTTGATTTTGCTGAGGCTTTAGGACAGTATTTAGGCACATGTGTAAACACTTCAAAATACTATAGAGACATCACAGTCAATGTGGTGTTATACACAGTTTTTTGTAATGTGTGTTGGTTTCTTTATAAGGCATTTTGTGCTATGCATGCACCTTGTGTATCTAGTAAGAGACAGCATCTAGGAAAATAAATTTATCTACTTAATGTAAGGAGATAGAGAAGAGTAAGTTTTTTCTCACAAAAGCAGTTTGTCCTATAATAATTTTCTAGTGCTTTAGGATAGAATTCAAGAGGTTGGTAATATTATGTATTTAGCAAACTCTTCTTGTGGATTAATGTCTTCTGAAAATACAGTTTTCTCATTATTGGAAGTTACTACATAATTACCACGTACAATACGTGGAATCTCAGAGCTGTCTCATGGGGACTAGATCGGTTTTCAGTTCTCCAGGTATACAATGGTAGCGTGATGCCTGAGCTATGAGACCACCATAGTGTCCCTGAGAAAGCATGTTTTGAGTGCAGTCAAGCCAATTTGGGGGTGTCAGTTTGTAATTTAGATTATACAAAAGAATGATTTTACAGAGTGGAAAATTCAGATGTTGAAATCTCATTGACTTTTAGAAAAAAGTTGTGAACATAACTTCCCTTTGTGTTTTTTACAAACCTAAGTGTGGAGTTCATGTACTTTTGCTTTCTTTCTCCCTTGCTCATATGATCTCTTTCTGGTGTTAATCAGAACAATTGTTCTCACATGGGCTGGTCCTGGAGTGTGGTGAGTTGTTAATCAAATGGTGCATGTCATCTGCTTTAAACCATATACAATGTTCCAGGGCTAACCGGGGATAAGTCCTCTGAAGTTGGTTTCCTGTTATCGCCTCTGTTTTATGAAATAGGCAATCTCCTAAGCCTGTCCAAATAAACAGAATTGAAAAAGAAAGATACTTGTTTTGATGTCTGGGTGTTGGAGATTGTTTTTCTTTCCCTGGGCATGATGAAATGTTACATCATAGCCACCTTATTTTGCTTGGCTGTGCTCCTTAGTTTCTCTTATGTGGATGCAAAATAATAAAAAAGAACTTGAGCCACATAATATTTGGAAACTTTTCATTTAAAACATGTCTCAGTGCACAGATGTGTACCATACAGTAGAAAAAGAATTACAACTAGTTTAGTTGTTTTGATATAAGGTTTAGAAAATAGTCTTACATGAATTTTCCTTGAGGTCTTGCATACCTTTTTGTCTTCTTTTCAGGCATTGTTTTCACTCAAGTTGATTTTGTTGAACCAATATTCAATTCAACATGGAAAGAATTTGATCAACACACTTGACGAACAGGCAAACAGCCTGGAGGCACAGGAACTTCCTGAGTTGGCCTCACTGCTGGATCTGCGGTGTTGTAAGATTGGGATCAATGTTGAAGTACCTGTATTTGTGTGGCTATCTCAGGCTTTCTTATCCTTGTGGTATTTTAAGTGTTGTTTGGTGTATTTCTGAAGTGCCACTGTCAAATTAATCAAGTGCTCCTGGCTTCCCATTCAAGTCCATGCTGGGCTTCTTCCATCATGCTGTCAGATCTGTTTAGGCAACTTGCACACTTGTAAATGAAGTGTCTTCACGATGACAGGCTGTTTCAGTTCCTACCTCAGGAAAGTACTGCCACTGAAGGCAGGTTCTGCTATGACACTTAATCCTTCCTTCCTTTCTTCCTTCCCTCTCTCCCTCCCTTTCTCTCTCCCTCCCTCTCCACCTCCCTCTCCCCACAGTGAGTTGTCCACTAGAATTTGGGCTGTTTGGTCACAAAGCCTAGTTAACTTCTGAAAAATGAGAGGAGAAAATAGTACAGGAGATTGCAATGGCTATGCCATAAGGTGCAGGTTCAGGTGCAGTTGATGGTTCCCAGCTTGTACTAGAACTCATTTGTTGGCTTTCCAGCTGGAGAATTGCAAAACTGCTTAAGTTTTGCACAGCTGATCAGTAGTAATCTTCTTTGCTAAAGAAGATTGCTAAAATAAACAATGAGACAACAGAGGGGGACTGATAACCTCTGCTCTTGTACACAGGTGAGGAAAATCTTCCTGTTGGGGAATATTTATTTTTCCTCTCGTTTCACAAGGTAGAGGCATATATCTCTACTTTAGCCTGCTGGACCTCATTCAGTGATCTAGCAGGTTTTTTTCTGGTTAAAAATTCTGAGACAATAGGTAAATTATAGAACCCTGTAGGACTTACACCCTGATTCTTTGTTTACTGCTCTTTCTCCTTGTGAACCGTGAGGAGTCCCAGAGTTAGCAGCCAAATAGCTACAATAATATATTCAACATGAGCAGGGCTGGAGGTTTTTTGTTTGGTTTTTGGTGGTTTTTTGTTGATATGGTTTTGTTTTTTTATTTGTTTGTTTTATTTATTTTTTTTTTTTAAATCAGATATTTTTAAAAGGATATTTTGAATACTCTGAGAGAACTTGAGCAACTTTTTCTTTTCCTTCTGGTATCATTTTCCAAAGTATCTGCACTCTGAAATCTGCAGTCACCATCAGGTTGCCCATGTATTTACCCTAGTGGGGCCTTGACCCATTAGTCGTTTGGTAGATGTCCAGCAGTATGCCAAGGTCAGAGGAAGCCTGCCCTTATTAGGTATATTTACAGAAAGAAGCAGTCAGCCTTTCTTATAATCCCAAATAATTTCCAAGAGTGGAAAAGTTGCAGTTCTGTAAATCTTGTAGGCTATTTTTGGTGTTCAGATATCTGCCATAGATTCACCTATGGTTTCCCAGCAAGATTAAGACCACGCTGCTGTTGAAAATAATGGTCCTGCTCTGCAGATATATTGATGAGTTTTCATGTGGATCATCCAGTTGTTCTGAGTTAGCCCCTGGCTGGGTGAATGCTACAGCTGACATAAGGGCAGGAGCAGACAGGGAGGAAAGGGCTGATGGCACCTATAGAGGAGACAGCTTGTCACGGTGGCTAACTCCGAACGTTCAGGCTCAGGACCAGCCTTAGGTCAGACAGCAGGATTTTCGCCAGTACTGTGTGTTTTGTCCGGTTGCTGCCTTGCACTGGCTGTTCTGTTTGTCCTGTTCCCCCAACACATTGTGAATTATTTCTTTCATAAGATGAAGGATCAAGGAACTTGCCTCCCTCATATTTTCAGATTCCCATTACCTAGGCTAAGTGACTGAATGGCTTTACTGTCTTTCTTCTCTTTGCTTTTGGATTGACTCCTCTGTCAGCCTTGAAGAATTATGTTTTTCCGCAAGGCATTCTCTTTGCCCTGGCTAATTCTCAGTACTGCGATGTGCCAGGTTGATTGAAGAGGTCTCGCATGGTCTTCTCTATCAGCACTCTGGGAAATTTTTTCCTTGCTTTCCCTTTTACCAGATCTTACAGAGATAAATCAGAGCATTAAATAAAAGGCAAGGGTTATGGGTCATCTTCTCTGGCTTTTTGCAAATTTTTTGCAAATTTACTCATGGGCGTTTTAAGAGCTGGCTTGAGCTAGATTTTCCGATTGTCTCTGCTGACAGGAATCATATTAGTTACAAGTGACTCTGAGTCATAAGGTTGCACAGGTATCTATTGTCAGACTGGGCAATCACATTAAATCATCCAGTTAACCAGAAGTAACTGGAGTGAACATGAGAGGCAATTTATTTATTTGTGGGTTGCTACTTCAGTCACATTCTTGCTGTGTATACAGTTACTACAAACAAGTGGCTGTGCGTGCACAGCTAAAGAGGGCCTACAGGATTGTAATTTCATGGACAGACATACTAGCTGAGCCAATCTCAGACAGAGTGAGTCCGGTGTCCCTGTCCCCAGGCACTGTCTCATGCCCTCAAGTTTGTACATGTGGAGTGAAATAGGTGGAAGATGCATCCCTTGAGAACTGACTTGAGTGAAACAAAGGTGAAATCTATTTTTCCTCTGGGTAAGTTCCCCAGTCCTGTTTATAGCAAAGCTGCAAAACCATCTGTGTCTGTCAAAAGGAAACAGAGACATGGGATGGGAGAGAGAGGATGGACCCATGAGATGACGGACTACTTCTCTTGGAGGCAGAGCCAGCTGATCCTAAAACGAAGTGTCTGTTGAACAATGAATTAAGGCAAGTGATGGCAAGTCTGTTTAAGCTGTCCTAAACAACCTCTGGACACCAGCCCCATCTTTCAGGCAGCTTATTGTGATTCCTAAGTCTCCCAGCTGCTTTTTGTGCAGTTGGAAACTAACCCAGCTGAAAAAAACTCCAGGATTTAAGTGGGCATTGGGGGTACAGTCAATTTGAACCCTGTTCACCCTTGAACCTCTTAAGCATGTGCCCTCACAAGAAAGAGAACAGATTCAGACTGCTCGTGGTGGGAAGAAGGTGGGCGTTGTTTAAGATGGCATTGCCAGTAAAGAAAGGGATCAACAAACTGAAGGAATCGTGCAGTTGTTCATATGAGAAGAACAGTTATTGTTGTTAAAACACTCTGCGGTTTTTTTTAACAATTGGCTTAAAATGCTGTCTCTTGAAATGAAAAGATTTCTCTTTTTCCAGTCCGAAAGCCAAAGCATTCATTCATATGTGCTGAGAGTCTGTTTCATAACTCACATTTTCAGTCACAGGGCTTGTCTTTACTATTTTTAATTTTCTTCTCTAGCTGCTGTGTTTCTTTTGACTCTCTTTACTTAGTCATAGATTAGACTATTTTTTTCTATTTCTTCTACTTTTTTCTACTTTGTTTCATTCACTGAAGCACATGATCTGTTCTGTTTCATCCTTGCACTAGAATGATTGGATTCTGTTAATCTTACAGGGTAAAAAAAAAAAAGAGAGAACAAGAAAAAGGCTCTGATTTGGGCAGTAATGTTTACGCTTTCATATTTGGCTCTTTAAATGTGTGAAATTCTCTTTGCTAGTAATGGACCTACTGTTATATGATGGAAGAAGTAGATTGGAATTAAGACCAGATAAAAAAATAGTGCCTTAATTACTGTTCTCAGTAAGTACTTCTCTGTAGTAGATAATGCAACTGTTGTTTTTTTTCAGGAGGATGAACCATCTTTGCTTTTCATGAGGCATGTTGGCAGTGATGATGCTGTGGCAATGACTTGCCATATGACGATTTGCCTTGCAGTGGTAGAAGAGGAAACAGAGCTGAGACTTCTTGGTTCCCCAACCTTGATTTAAACTTCTCCATCTTTAAGCGTATTGCTAGGCTCTATCTTGGAGTTATTTTGCTTACCTGTTGTGGCAACTGGTTAAAATGACAGAATGTGAATGCTGAAAGCTTTGGGGAATGTTTACAGTCCAGTGGGATACAAGTTAGTAGTCATATCAGTGTACTGACACTTATTAACCACAAAGGGATTTTTCTTAAAACATTCTCTGTCAGAGATTGATTTTCACATACTAAATAATTCTTCTCAGCTGAGCAGTTTCCTGTAACAGTGCAGAAGCCAAAATCAGCTTCCATTCCATTGACACCATTCAATGTGGACCCATAATCTAGCACACTCTTACCTGTCATGAGACCTATCCATGCAAAATACGTATCTGGGGTAACCATATACTGCTGTGAGCTGCACGGAGTTGGTGTCACACTCTGAAGTCTTCATTATTTTCAGAAGGTCTTGCATGTCCCATTTGCCTAACCCCTCAAAACCAGGCTTGTATTAATAATGTTATGGTAGACATTTTATGTGGAAATAAATTGCTACTATATTGGGATTTTTGTCCATCAAATTAATGTCCACCATGATAAGCAATAGAACACAGTGCTGACTAAATTTAGAGGAGAGATTCTTGGTCTTAAATTATTTGTTCTTTCCAGTATCAGCTAGTCTTTAAGTAGTAAAGGAATTGCTGAGTAGATCTAAGGAAAAGCCTGTCAAGTGATCGATGTTTAAATTCAATAGCTTCATCAAGAAAAGATTCCAGCACAGATGAAAGAAGTCTTTCTTCATTTGTCAGTCTTTATAATTGAGACTGAAGCAGAGTTATAAATTCCATCTTTCCTCTAGTGGGAGCTATTCATGGTGGGTAAATATTTGTAACAATATGGCATTATCCCTGCTATTGAGGTTTTTTCATGCTCACTTAGTCAGACTTCCTGTGCTGCTGATTTTAATTCCATATGGAGGTACAATGGCATAAGAAGTTGTCTGTGCTGGCAAAATGAGAAATCTCTTAGGAATGGATTATGACAAAGAGGTACTTTTATAGCAGCTAGAGAAGCTAAGAAATTGACAACTGATCACATCACTTTTCAGTTAGTCTTTGCACTGTGACAGGGATATTACTGCTCTGCTTTGCTGATGAGGGAAGACTCAGCTACGGGGAGAGATTCTAGCATCAGGTCCTATCTTCGTTACCTGCTAATTCTGTATTTAACCTGGATTTTTCCCTTCAG